GGGAGATTTTTTTAAAGTACATATTTCTAGGCTATATCCATGGAGATTATAATTCAGAGATTTCAGTTAGGATCTGAGAAATATTTCTATAAACATTGGAAAAATTAGTAGTTGTGCTGTGTTAATAAGTAGTCAAAACCACCACTGACAATTTAAAATAAAATGAGGTTAATACTGTATAAAGAGAATCTATTATAATCCAGAAGGCTTGTCACATAATCTTTTTAATGATTGTAATGATTTTACTTAAACAATGTAGTGACACAAGTTTGAAGAAGTCAAAAATATCAGGGATTTACACTTTGGGGACATAACTATAACTTAGTTGGGAGGAATCTTTTGGGACTCATTGTACTACAAAGGTCAATCCTTCCGTTAAAGCATCACATTTCAAACATACACACAAAGAAAATTAATTAATTTCCACTTTTCTTGTCTGAGCCATAAGATTTTAATGAGGTTTCTCGAAATTGCAAAATTTGGTTTGGTCTTTCATTTTCACCTAAGAGATCTCCATCCTCATAGAAACTACTCTGACGAATAGTATGTACTTCTAAGATCTCAGTATTAAGTCTCAAACATTTTACATTCCCCAATGGCATATTTAAATTTCAAATTTTCAATCGGAAAGCAATAATAATTGTAGTGTCTACCGATATATAAGTTGGCAATTTCCATTTCAACTGACAACACAAAAATTCATTGTGTGCCTACAGAGCTGGAATGGTTTGGGGGTCATTTGGATGCAGAAACTCAAATGATGTCATCCACACCAACTTAATCATCTCCTTTTAATATTTAATTAATCAAAACAAATTTAGACAGTAAAGAAATAACCTAATTTAAGACATAAAACACTTCAAATATACTTAAAGATCACTATATCCTTGATCTTTTCCCCTCACCTGCCTCTTCCCACCTGCCAGATAATGATCACCAAGTCTCTTGTTGTTCATGCTTTTATTATTTATAAACTGAAATAAATAAACACACAAATAATGTTTACACGCCTCAAATCTTTTATAAAGGTCTTAAATATCTTAAGATTTTCCCCAACTAAATATCTATTCTTCTGCAGCTTTTGTATTCAACATATTTGTGAGATTTATCAGGTAAATATATGTAGCAATAGTTGATTTACATTAACTAACAACTATATAATGTTCTAATTCTATTATTAGCCATTTATGTTGTTTCCAATTTTTTACAACTATAACACAGTTGAAATAAACATTCTTATACATTATCCCCTTTGATAAATATTCAAGAGTTTTTATTTAGGATGTCTTGTCTTTTCCTTATTATTTGATAAAAATCCTGTCTAATAAAAGAGAAACATACAAATGGACTGTACCTCTACTCCATCCACAAATAACACCCACCAGCCAATCAGGAGCAAGTATGCCAGTTAATCCAACCAAGCTGGTGGTTAATTTGCATATCTAGGCACAGAGTGAAGACTGAAGACAGTATAGAAGGAAGCCAAGCACTGCAGAAGGGAGCAAGCTGCAGAGAAGCAAGTGGGGTGGCAGAGAAGGGAGGGAAGCAGGCAGGGCACAGAGACAGTTGCAGGAAGCTGTATTCTTACAGAAATAGGCACAAGAAAGCCTTATACTTCCAGGAATCTTCCTGCAATGGGCCTCTAGTTCTTTATATAAAAATCTATTACAATCTTTAGCTTAATAACAGAAATGATCTTGCCGATTTATGCTTAAAGTTTATAGTTCATCAAAAATATAACAGATTTATATTTTGTTGTCATCAAATATTTTTTTCTTTTATGAAAATAATTATGATTTTTGGATTATATTTTTAAACATTCTTTCTTAGCCAAAGATCATAAAATAATGTTGCTTCTGATTGAGTGCTTAGAAATTGGCTTTTTATATTTAGTGACTTAACCCCTCCAGAATTGATTTTTATATACAATATAAAATTAATTTCAAACATGTTTTTCATAGGGATACAACTTACTCTGGAAAGAATCACGTGGCCAAAGAAATAGGATAAAATAATTCTCTCAGCTCCAGGCCACATACTTTACTCTGTAGTCAAGGATAAATAGATCTTTGCTCAGAACATGTGAACTAAGAATAGATAAAATATGGATTCTACACCTCCACAATGGAAGTAGTTTGATTAAACTATTAGGAGAAAGCAACAAAATATTTATTTTCTTTTTTATGTTTTTATTTAAGGTTTTTGTTTACATTGTCTAAACCAACTCAGTTCAAGAAAACAAATTCATAAAATATAGGAATCTTAATCAGCAATAAAATATACAGATATTGCTAGATGTTTCCTCATGCACCCTTTATTGTTGATTTTGAAGTGGCCAAAGGGCAAACAAACAGTAGAATAATTCCCAGTGTAAAACTTCTATTAGCTAAAAAAAAGACCACATTTCCAAGTAGTTGGCTGCCTCCTTCCCACTTATCCCCCAACTGAAGCTTCAAAATTAATTACCTCTTCCCATGACAAAGCACTAGTCAACCTTTGTTCAGAGAGAGGCCTATTATGTAAGCAAACACATACAACAGAGAAAACTCAGGCTAGCTGCCCAGAAAAATTAATCCAATTCTATTGTTATATAATATCAATAGAAAACTTGTGCTTACCAAACATATGAAAAAAAATCAGCAACAGGAAAGTGAATGATCAAGACTGAATACAATAACGACAAAAAACAACCAAACAAAATAACTTGCACCCTGAAGAAGCAAACATAACTCACGGAGTAGAAGAAAACTAAAAAGCTAATATCACTGGTATCCTCAGAAACATAAAGTAAGATGCTATAATACCAAAAAATGGAACCATCAGGGAATAAGTTGTTGTAAATCAAAAGAAAGCGAGGCAGAAGAAAAATAAGAGGCAGAGGATCAAACAAAGAAGTTAATATGCAATAAATAGATATGCCAGAAAGAGAAAGAGTAAGAAAAAGGAGGGTAGAAAATTATAAAATTAGAAAATATAAAAACATTTCTCAGCAGTAAAGACACATATCTTAAAATTGAAATTTTCCAATGAACAGGAAAAGAACCAGTTTTACACTCAATCTTGTGCAGTTTCAGAAAGCAAAATAAAAACAATTTGAACACTTGTCTCTTGTTTATTTGTTGATGATAGCCATTCTGACAGGTGTGAGATGGTACCATGTTGTCATTTTGATTTGCATCTCTCAGGTGACTATTGACTTTGAGCATGTTTTCATATGTCTCTTGGCCTTCCTTATGTCCTTTTTGGAAAATTATCTATTTAGGTCTGTTGCCCATTTTTAGATTGGGTTGTTTATTTATTTTTTTATTTTTTGTTAGGTGGTATGAGTTCCCTGTAAATGTTGGAGATTAAATCCTTATTGGTGATAACATTGGCAAATATGCTCTTCCATGCAGTGGCTTTCTTGTTGTTTTGTTGATGGTTTCTTTTATTGTTCAGAATATTTTTATTTTGAGTCACTCATTTGTGGATTATAATGAACAACATAAACTGATGAACAAAAACAGATCCAGAGTCAAAAAAAGCATTGATCAGATGCTCAAACCTCAGAGGGAAGGTAGGGGAGGGTAGTGGTAAGGGGGAGAGATCAACCAAAGGATTTGTATGCATGCATATAAGTATAACCAATGGACACAGGGGGTGGGGAGCAATGAGGGGATAAGGACACATATGTAATACCTCAATCAATAAAAAAATAAATAAATAAAAAATAAAGATTTAAAAATAATAATAAAAAGGTTAAAAGAAACAGTTTAAACATTTCTACTGGTATAAAAAAAATGAAGCACATACATGTGGATAAATTGGTGTTAAATTTAAAATACTTGCACTGCATGTTATGAAAGTTCTGAGAAAAAATATTTTTACAGTGTAATTCTATTATCAGTACAACTATCAAAAGAATATAAGATCACAATAAAGAAATTTTATTATACAGCTTATCTCTTGTACTTTTTTTTGGGAAAGGAGAAAGACATGCTATAAAAAAAATGTGGTAAAAAATAATATCCAAAAGATAAGTGCATGGCTAGCCTACAAATATACATTGGTCTAGATTAGAATAGAAAGTCAGTGAGCTACGAGCAAAAGTATTCTCAAGAGAAGGTATGACACATTCCACTCAACAGGTATGCAATATAGAAATCTATGAGTCCTTTTCTTTTTTTACATTCAAGGAAATATTTTATTTTATTATTTTCAGGAGCATAAAATGTGTTTTTTATTATTTTGAAATTATAACACGTTTCAATTTATTTCTTAAATGACAGAGCCTTACTTTCTTATTAAGCATATTCAAGTCTTTTTCCTGATCTAGCCTGAATCTTCTTTCATAATCTTTTCTACCATCACCCCACACCATCTACTCTGTGCTCTAAAAATGGTGGACTCATCAGTAGTCCTTTTGTATTAACTAATTTTCAGTCCTATGTTTCTTTATTTTTTAATAATATATCTTATTGATTTTTTACAGAGAAGAAGGGAGAAGGATAGAGAGTTAGAAACATCAATGAGGGAGAAATATCGATCAGCTGTCTCCTACACACTCCCTACTGGGTATGTGCCCACAACCAAGGTATATGCCTTTGACCAGAATCAAATCTGAGACCTTTGAGTCCACAGGCCAACACTCTATCTACTGAACCAAACCAGGTAAGTAGGCCTATGTTTCTTTAAAAAAATAAAATAATAAAATAATAATAATAATAATTTAACTTTGCTGTATTAATCAAACTAAAATATATGGCAAAATTTTGATCAATTGATGAAATGTGAGAAAAGATATCCATTTGAACTTGATGCTTGAAATAGTCTCATTAGAGTTCATAGAGAAGCAGAAAAGAAAATTTTATCATGATGTATCAACTAGCTTTATAGGAAGCAGTGTTTCCATAATCATAGGTAAATAATAAATAATATTTTCAACTCTATAATAGAAAATAAGCAGAAAATAATCTAAAATGTACTATTTTAGCCTTTCACTGTTGATAGCGCTCGCAAACATGGTGAGCGTTCCTAAAACCCGCCGAACTTTCTGTGAGAAGGGTGGCAAGCATCAACTCCACACAGTAACACAGTACAGGAAGGGCAAGGATCCTCTGTGTGCGCGGGGAAAGCGGCGTTCTGACAGGAAGCAAAGTGGCTATGGTGGGCAGACTAAGCCTATTTTCCGAAAAAAGGCTAAAACTACAAAGAAGATGGTGCTGAGGCTTGAATGTGTTGAGCCTAACTCCAGATCTAAGAGAATGCAGGCTATTAAGAAATGCAAGCATTTTGAACTGGGAGGAGATAAGAAGAGAAAGGGTCAAGTGATCCAGTTCTAGAGCGTCATATTTTGTTTTATTATATGACAATAAAATCTTGATATGTGAAAAATAAATAAATAAAATAAAATGTATTATTTTAATAATATTCAGATGAAGTTATGGTTTATTGATATTGATCATTGATAAAAGTTATTGGAAAGGATGGATGCATTCATATTCTCATCCCACAAGAGGATAACAAGAGAAATGTCCTAGACTTCCTGGGAAAAGAGTACAAACTTATGTGTATTATTTCAAGTATAATTAGTAAACCAATAGACTAAAGATAATAAATCTTAAACATTTATATTTGGAAAGGAGATGAAGAGACGTATTATTAGCTCTCTCTTCATCTTCCTTAGAAGACAATGAAGACAACATTAAATGTTGATTATTCATAGTTGTCAAAACAGTTACTGGACCTGCAAATATCTAAAAGTGATTGTTTCAGCTATCAAAGTTGGTTTAATAGAATGCTTCTTTGTTTCAGAAATCATTTTAACAATTTGTAATTTTACAATGTGCCTCAATTAGTTTTTTCTTTGATTAAAAACTTTTTAAAATTACAACCTAACACAAAATATGTGACAGAGAACACAGATAAATAGGCTATTTAGCCTAAATCCATACAAATAGCTACTAACACATGTAATGCAGCTCTGCCTCAGTGATTCAGAGAGAATAAAGTTGTTGGGGCTGAAAATAGATTAATGGTCTTTCCTTGGTTGGCAGACTGTTTCAGCAAGAAAAAAAATACTACCTCAGAGGTGGTAATGAGAGTGCTGTGTTGGTTAAAATAAACTCAGTTATTTCACCCTTTTTATAACTTTCTGAATAGTGGATTAATATAGTATTAATAAAATATTTTGGCCCCAAGCAGCATACAAATAAAGGAAATATAATATTTAAAAGAACTTTGTTCATTAAGGAATTAGTACCTTTTAAAAATCCAGATAGAATATTGATATTATAATAAGCAAGCCCAATAAGGCATTTTGTTTCCTAATTTTTCTATAATGCTAAATTTTATCTTAAGGTATTTTATATGAATTTTTGTTTCTTTTTAAAAATTAGAATATCTTAGTGTTACCTTAATATAGCATAAATATAAATATCCTAGTTTATAATTTATTTTATACTAAAAATAATAATTATAACAATATTGTGTTTTAATAAGTCATTTTTACAAAACTACTAATAAAACTTTATGATTTTATGTAAATGTACATAACTTTAATGATGTCCCTATATGATTTTCCTTAGCTTCTACTTCATATCCTTTTAATAAGATCTAAAATACCTCATATACTTCTTCCAAAGTCATTTTGTCAATTTTAAATCAATTGATTTCCCAAAAAGCAATATTTATCATATCCTAAGTTATTTGTCAAAATTTTAAAGCTTTCATCTCAAAAAGATCAAGTAAATATTGTTTCTGGTTTATATAGCCAATAATACTATGCAACAGTTTGCATTTCTTTCCAGACAGAAGCTATAGATGTCCTTTTGTGTATTTTGTTATTGTTGTTTTTAACAAGGATTATGATGATCCTATAAAGCTCTGAATATTTGGGAAACATTTTTATACTCTACACTATATATTTTCCAAGTCATAAAATATTTATATTGACCCAGTTGTCAAAACATAATGATTTCAAGAACCAACATATTTTTTCAAGATATTTTTAAGGCATGTAAATTTATTGATTTTAAAAAATATTTAGTATTTAAATTTTCCAAATTAATAAATCAGACAAATTTGATTAGAACGAAAACCATTTAATGCAATGGCAAATAGTTAAATTAAGCACATTTTTAAATTTAGTTCTATTATGTGCAATAAAGCAAATAAAATAAAAAGTTGTACCTAATGGTAGTATCACCATCCTACAAATAGAAACCCATGAAAACCATGTGGTATTGATGATTAAAATTAAAAAAATAAAAGCCACATATCCAGAGGTCAAGATATCTTTTGTGATACAACTAGTTTTAAAAACATTGCTTAAAGAATATATGATAGCAGCAATAGATAAAGCCCTACTGAGGCAAATACAATTGGTGTGACCTACAATTTCTCCAAGATTAGAATTAAACATAATCATTTATAGATATTATGCTTTGGCAACTTTTAAAAATTGTGTTTGTGATAGTAACAGCTTATTTATTCACCAGTTTTCCATTTTCTTTCATGCACATAGCTGTACTGGTTTTCTTTCTGAACTGATCCAATCATGGGGCTAACTTCCAGTTGAAGGAATGCACTAGTATGCTGGAGTAAGGCCCTTTGCTTAGTCACCTTGCTCCTACAAATTTTCTGGTGTGACCCTAAGCTTTATTTCCCAGTTCTAGGTTGGGAAGTTTTTGGATCCACAGAGGATTGCATAGACCAGAACCCCTCTCATTGACTCACACTGAATTGTGGCATGGGAAAGAAATACAAGTATCCTATATAATGAAAAGCTAATATGCAAATTGTCCCTATGAGCAGGAGTTTGACCAACCAAGAACTAGATGTGCGCTGACCACCAGAGGGCAGCACAGAAGATGGTGGGCATCAGTGATGGGGCAGGTGGCTGGGGGAAGAAGCCCCTCTCCACTGGCCAGCAGCTGCTAAGGCCCCTTCCCATGCACAGTTTTCATGCACTGGGACTCTAATATTATATAAAGCCACTAAAATAGTTTGTTTATATGGTAAGCAAGTTATCTTTAGTTCACAAAATGTAGCAAGCAACAAAATTCAGTCACCAAGTAACAAAAGTCACCAAGTGATATAGTACAATAAACATATACAGATTAAAAATCAAGAGAACTAGAGTTTATCACTGGATCTGCCATCTCTCATATAAACAGACATAGTTAACTTTGGTAGTGTCACCTCAGGTAAGCTTCATGGAGGCAACATCACCACTGCTGAATAATACATAAAACAACAAAACATGAAATTCTTACTCTATTGAGCATCTATTAAGTTGATTACAGGATGGACAGATGTTCACAAAATTCCACAGGTAAAAACAGACAAGCTAAGATACTTAAAATCACATAGCAACCAAGTAGCAGAGGCATTGTGAGACACCAAGTCTCCATGATTATTGGGACACACAGGCACTCTACTTCTCCATGCCTCAAGTTCCTTCCTCATCAGAAAAAGGAGAGTATTAAGCCAGACTATATAGGTTAACATGCATACAGATAAGATTAGAAACAAAGACAAGGCAAATGAGGGCCTCCACTGCCATGTAATTTTGAGGAAAGAGGCAAAACAGGATCATGGTCTACTGGTCCATGCAAGCTAAGAAAACACCACAATGCTTGATGCTTTTGTGACCTGTTTGAGAGCACTACTGAGATCAATGAGTAGGTAACAGTAAGGTGGAGACAAGGAAAATAAATACATAAGGGAAAGAGTGATGCTATAGACAATGCGTTAGAAGATCTGGTTTTGCTGAGAGATTTGGGAATTCCTTGCTTTCTTGCTTTCTCTTGCTCTTTATTCTCTTCAGCTAATAAAACAAAAGAGTTTGACAGAACAATTTCTATTTGGATTTATGGTCTTATAAGAATATTTACTGCTTAGGGAGAAAGGAGGTAATTTGGAGAATGGTGCGTTTGCTTAAATCAAATTGTTCATTAGTGAGTATGCTGAGGAGCAACCTAGCTTTGCTGACTTCAACAGCTAGCATGAGACCCAAGTGACAGGGACACATAAAACTGCTCAAAGAAAGCTAAGCAACAATCAAATCCAGTGAAATTTACTTTCTTTTCTCCACCCCCCCCTTTTTTATGGGAAGGGGAGGCTTCTTTTTTTCTTTTTTTAAGTTATTTCTCATTTTTATTGAACTTATTGGGGTGACACTGGCTAATAGGATAATATAGGTTTCAAGTGTACAACTCTATGACACTAGATATGCACACTGCACTATGTGTCCCTATTTTTCATTTTCAAATTTCACCTTTTATGTTGTCATCCCCTTGACTTCTTGAGAGGCTCTGAGGATAAAATTACCACTAAATGCATTTTTTCTATGTTAGCCCTTGATTTTGGTATTTTTATTCCCTTAAAATCCCAGGATCAGACATATCCATCAAGTAGTTGGGGAGAGCAAATGTAAGTTTCAGCTGTTCACCATCATATGATGCAATTTCAGTGTCAATGTTCTCACTTATAAAATTTCACTAACGCTTGTTCAAACTGAATCTAATGAGATAAATTTGAGTTGTCAGGGCATTCCAAGAGATCATGAAATGAGAGCTAAATACTTACTACTATGTTTTTCAAATAGCAGTGGAGCAAGAAATATTAGTACTGAAATATTAGGAGCCATAAAGAGATGTAATAATCTGTCATCTAAAGGCTCTACCTCAAACTTAAAGGCATTTTAGGATATATGAAGGCCAACCACAGAAACCAATGGATGTTCACAGAACCCTATATGAAAAACAAGTTCTCAAAAGCTACTTAATGCAATCTCCAGCTCCAATGCTTGTTCTCAAGGTCAGATATAGTGAACATCTGTCTTATTTGAAACTTCTGAACATCCCTCCTATGTTTTTAATTTTCTATCCAATTAGTTCTACATCTCGAGGTGAAAGCCTTCTGTCAACCTCTTTTGCAGCTGAGGCACAGGAGTGCAGGTTCTGTAGATGGGCTAGTCAGAAACATGCTCCTGAGACTTCTTTTAGGAAGAGAATGTGGTGAAGAGGGCAGAATTATGTGAAGAATATTCTATTCTCAGAGGCTGCAACATGAGGGTCTGAGCAGAGAATTTCCTGCTCCAAAGGACTGGTGTAAGCCACCTGTGCCAGGAGAAATGGCTTAGAGTTTGCTCTGTAGAATCCTGATGTATAATATAACATGTAGAATCCTGATGTATAACCGGAGCTTTCCTCTTTGTCCTTTTGAAAAATGTGGATGGCTTTTAAAGTCCTTTATATAGTTCCTTTCACCTTACATAAGGCAGGTTTTGTTTTTTGCAACTAGGAATGTTTACCTTTAAGTGTAAAATTCAAAGAGT